AATGAAGATACTCGAGGTGCTCTGTAAGAGGCCCTTCACAAAAATATATGTACCCCTACTGGTATCCCAATCCCTCCCAGCCTTTAGAATTGTGTAACATGCAGCTCTACACCTTAAATTTCTGGTATTTTGGTTGTAGCACCCGGAGCTGCCTAAGATACTCATTGAATCAAGTACTGAACAAAGATTCGGGACTTACTCTTGCCAGCTGACATAATGTCATGGTCTGAGATCAGGATTTTGGTGAGACCAGGCTGTCCCCGGCATCCTGAAGCCTATGCCTTATTTCCAACTTAAAATTATCTCTTGATGCCTTTGTGAAATGTAAGCCACTCATCATCCTGACAACTTTACCCTTGCCTATCCTTAGTGGGAGACATCACAACAGAACCATGTGACTTCTCGGCCAATATTACTGTTACTGTTTTAATATAAGAACCCCACTAAAGGAAATATCAAGGTTATCTGTGGCAAAGAAAGAACAAAAATTTGCGATATGTCCCATAAGGCCGAGAATGGCATGTCTTACAGGTTCATAAGGGCTGAAAAAAAAAGTAAATTTGAATTTCAGAAACACAGTGAGCTCTTTTTTCAGGGCAGTTTTGTTATGCAGTGTTTTAAATGCCAGTTCCAGGGACTCTGCCTTAGAGTTCACTACTCAAAGTATGGTCTTTGGACCAGCAATATCCCACGAACTTGTTAGAAATGTAGAATATCACATAGGAACCCTTCCTTGCCCTGGGGCTTAACTGTCTTGGCTCAGGCTTCTCTAACAGAAGCACCACAGGCTGCATGGCTTAAACACTTATTTCTCACAGGAGAAATCTGAGATCAAGGTTCTGACAATATCTGTGTCTGGTGAGTGTTTACTTCCGGTTCATAGATGGCTGACTTCTTATTCTGTCCTCATATGCACAGCGAGAGATAATTTTTTCCTGTCTCTTCTCATAAAGGCAGCAATCTCATTCAGGAGGGTTCTACTCTCACGAGTTAATTACCTGCCAAATCCCTACTTCCAAATGCCATCCCTTTGGGATTAGGATTTCAACGTATAAATTTGAGAGAATATAAGCATTCAGCCCACAGCACCAAATGATTCAGAAGCTGAATTTTAACAAGATTTCCAAGAGTTCAGTCTGCACACCAAAGTTTCCATGGGTTTAGAACTTGCAACCTTCATAGATGTATCACCTTGATCTTCAGGTTGTCACAAGAGGTTGGCAAAATGAAAGATTCTCTTGATTACTTAGTCCTGTTGTTAGAATGGAGACTGGAATGCTGATTGGGCCACGGCACATCTGCAATTTCCTGCCATCCCAGGGCAGAGTGTCCTCCTACCTCCTCTCCTGTTGCCTGGCCTGTTTTGATACAAAGGCAGAGTGAGATGGATCCGGAGCAAATGGAGATAGCAAAGGAAGGAAAATGGGTTCGTGTCCAAAACCGTCAATGCTCCCAGACCCTTGACAGTGGTCATAGCACAGCAGAATGCCCCTGTGTCCTCCAGAGTAGTCACATCTGTATGTGTCCTGCTCTATCACGAATTGTCATCAGTTCCAGCAGATGCCATTCATTTAATGATAGCTTTTGGGGAAAATAACATAGCCATTAGAATAAATGGACATATCCACCATAGGAGTCATTTTGATTTCAGAAACATCACGAGCTAAAACAGATATATTTCTGAATCGAGAAAGTGTGGCCAAGAATTATGGAGAAGGATTCTGAAAATAATTGGGAGAAATATGAGTGATAGAAGTCAAGCTGTCAGATACTTAGCACAAAAGAGCTGCTGGGCAGAAGCAGAGGACCATGCCTGAAAAGGTCTGATAGATGGAACCTAATGCAAGAGGGACTTGTCTGCTTCATTAGAGACTCTGTCACATGGCTTTGGTGTATAAACTCCGGACTGTGACACTCCATCAATCCTAATCGGGATCTCCATTTTATATCCATTAACACAGGTTGATAGATTTAAAAAAACTTCTGGTACTTTCATTTCACATAGGTGATGAGAATAATCTTTCTTTCCTCATTTCTTTTGTTTTACAATTCCTAAACATTGAAAAATACTTATAATCTTAAAATTCATACTTCAGATGTTATTATCTAGATCAAAAGGGTATTCTTTATAACTGTTATTTTAATTGACACATAAAGATCATACATATCAAAATTAATATGTTGCTACATGCATACATTGTGCAATGTTCAAATCAGAGTAAGCTATCTGTTTTCTCAAACCTTTATCAATTCTTCAGGATGAAATATTGAAAATCAATTCTTTTAGCTTTTTTTGAAATATATAATACAATGCTGTCTGTAGTCACTCTCTGGGCAATAGTTCCCTGGAATTTCTGTCTCCTTTCTGTTGCCATAGCAGGCATCGATCAACCTCTTCCCATTAAATGAATTCTTGGACTTTAAAATTTCTTTAAGTGAAGAGCTTCTCTCATGTCATTTTGTATTAATTAATATTTGCAGGAGAAAAATCTTCAACTAAATTCAATATTCACCACAGTAGTAAATATAAAATTGTAATGCTACACCTTCAAGCCACAGAATTTTTAAAAAGGAACTAAAACAAACCATAAAATTGTAACTTTTCAGTGGTAACATAATTGGAATTGCAAGTATTTGACAGCATGATGTTAAAAATAATATACTTATTGCATAATAAAAGGTGTGCTGTATCAGGTTAAATTCTGGAAATCCTCCAAATAATGATTTATTGCATGGAACCTGGCCATTTTGTCTACTGTATAAAATTCTTAAATGCTTCTGATTGATCTCAGGATAAAATTCAAATCTGGCCTTTGAGTCCTGATCCAGACAGTTCTCCACTTACGTGGTTCTTTTCTAAACCTGCAACCCAATAGTGTGAGCCAACAGTGAGTTCCTGATCCACTGTCCTCTCTCCAGGCACCATAATTTTCTTCTCCTGACTGCATGATCGCCCCACAGCACTTATCCCTCAAAGCCTCACGCAGTGGCTGAGCAAAAGGACTGCTTAATAATATTGATGGGGATAGACAGGATTAGTGAGTGATGCAGAACCATTCAATCTTCACAGAGCTCAGAATCCATTTAATTTGTTCTTTTAATAGAAGGAGAAGAATATTTAGCTGCTGTTTAAGAAACCAGAATATTTAGCTGCCAGCGAGAGACTACTGGTCTACCACGTGGGAGACTCCAGCTTTCACCTGTCTTAACTGTCCTTTACTGTCTCTGGAGCTCTTTTTGCACAAAGAGGAACTTGCTGATCACCCTGACTTCCTGTAGCTCTCACTTCAATGGTCTTTATGTTCCCATTCATTTTCTTAATGGAGTTTTAGTCATTTTCCTACCCACAATTATGGCCATTCTTTATGTCCTTTTGTAAGAAATTGCTTATGTGCTAATACTTAGAAACTTGTGTTGCTATCAGTGGGAATGATGTTCAAAATATAGTTTTCATTTTAGCCAGGGCTGGAAGGTAAACACAGATGAGCAACAGAGCAGCTTGAAGAATTAAACATATATTCATGAGGCCACCTGCTCATCCTTTCTTGTGTCTTTGTGTAGTCACTGAGAAAGGACACATTCAAAGCTGAGAATTAACAGCCAAATTTTCTGGCCGCCTTCCTCAAAGGTTATATACATTGTCATGTTTCATAGTTTAATTTTTTAATTTTAATTTTAATTAATTAGTTTGTACAACTGGGTGCTGAACCCAGGGCCTTTGCATGGAACTACATCCTCAGCCCTTTTGATTTTTTATTTTGAGACAGTTTCACTCAATTACTAAGTTTCCTGGGCCAGGACTAAACTTGGGATTCTCCTGACACAGTCTTTCAGACTTCTGGAATTACAGAAAAACTTGGTATTTTTGAGTGTCATGTTGATAATACCATGAACTTCCTTTTGTCCTCTCATGATCTAAAATTTGGATAAAACTTTAGGTAACTTGAAATGGTTAAAGCTGTTTCTGAGGGTGTCTTGATTACACTCTGTTAAGCTCTTTCTGGTGTGGTTAACGATACCATTAGCAATAGATGCAAAAAATTCGACACAGCAGTGTGAGAATTAACACCGAATACGCACCTCACTTGAGCTGGCCTCTTGCAGATTTCTTCTGAACTTAGTATTCGTGTTATCTTCCTCTTCCCCTTAGATCACAGCTGTTTTGGATGTTTGGAACTGCCCAGTAAGACCTCTGAGTAGATTCCCCTCTTAGTTTCTCCACCTGTCGGTCAATCCCTGAAGATTCCTTGAAACCAGCTTACCATCTGCTTCCCCCACCTGCAGCCTGGCTGCTGTGGGCTGTGGCAGACTCCTCTCCTCATGCCCTGCCCTGCCTGCCAACTCCCGGCCAGTGCCCCCATCCAACTTCTCCACCCCACGGAAACCCAGCCAAGTCCACACACATTCAGACATTCCTTACCAAGTGACCACAGCCCTGGTCAGCAGGACAGGGAGCTAAACATACAGCTACCTTTTAAGAGGAGGTTCCAAGAGGACTTCCCAAAGCGTGGACCTGTTTGAACTCTTTTCTGCTGGTCCCTTGGCTGTTTTCCTCTACCTTTTCAATAAATACTTCAATAGTTTTCCCTCCAAGGATGAAAATATTACAGTTTAATTTTCATTTGCTGTTTAACTTGTGGTGAAAAAAAATGTTCCGCAGATTTAACTATGGATGAAAATAGCCCTGCTATCTTAAAGTCATTAAGGGAACATAAAACGGCTCTTTGTGATCTCAGGCTGTGTGCGATCTGGCATCTGTCACCAATCCTCCGTCCTTATTCAGAAGCCAGACATTCAGAGCAAGGATTCCAAGCTTAATGGCACCTTGAGAATTAGTGCTCCCAAGTGCCCATCAAATCTGCCACTCTCAACAGCTGTCACCGAGTGATGCTGTGTCCCTCCACCCTCTGCTGCTTTTTGTATAAACAGGTCTTCAGAGCTGTGCCAGGAGAGTCTTCTGGGCCCGTGCGCTCTGCCCCTGCCCAGCATCCGTGCCTCACCTGGCTTTGCTGTGCCCATTCCAGCATTCCTCTTCATTGGATGTGCCCGCCGTCACACTCTCATCTTTGCAGATGGTGTAGGGCAGCGCCGACCAGACCTTTTTAGAGAGCTTCAGTTTCTCTTTTATGTCTGTGACCTGATCGAAAAACCAAGGAAAGCCAGTGAATACCCTCTGCAGGCTCTGCTCATTTCCACACAAGGATGCAGCACAGGTGAAGGTTACAGAGCCTGGGACACGAGTGACACAAACTATCTTGTGCAGGAGACAGACAGGGTGTGTGGAGTTCACTGCCCAAACAGCCTGCCCCCATCTTCTGCCAGCACAAAGGTTATTGGTTCTTCGTTTTCCTTTTTTCTGCCCTTTCATCCCTTGAGTTAAAACTTAGGAAGCATCTCTCTTGGTTTCTGCTCCCCTTCCTGCTGAGAGTCCCTAGTGCAAACCCCTAAGTATGTGCTTTAGAACTCATTTGTTTGGATGAGCAAAAATGCCCCAAAACAATGCACTGAGATGAAACACCCTCCCCAGTGGCCTACAGGTTTCTTTAAGAAGGAAATCTCCTCACTGATTCAGCTGCTGGTGACTACTGCTCTAACGCAATTGACAGGCTCACACCACACACACTTGGACAGCAAGCCCAACGCAATGCAAAGTCTTGGGCAGTGGAAGAGGAATTCCTACTCCTGGCAGGGTGCAATGCACAGCCGGAGGTGGCTGGCGGGAATGGCTTAGGATGGGCTCTGCGTGTTCTCAGCTCTGACTTCTTACCTGTGACAAGGGTGAGGACAGGGATTCAGGAACATGTCTGTTGATGCAGCCAGAGTCCTGGTTTCCTATTCTGTCTGTGCAAACACTGGGGAAGTCCATGGAGGGACACAGTGTATCTGTTATGGCTTGTGTCCCTACAAATTCATATTTTTCGAAGTTTTGACCCCATGTTTCTCAGCATGTGACCTTATTTTGAGATTGAGTCTTTACTGAGATGAGGAAGTGACAGTGAAGTCATTAGGATCAGCCCTAATTTGCCATGACTAGTGTCTTTATAAAAAGGGGATATTTGCACACAAACATGCTGGGAGTGGGGTGGGGCAGATGACCTGGAGAGACACAGGAAGACACAGCCATCTACCAGCCAAGGACAGAGGCTTGGAATGGATCCTTTCCTCACACTTCTGAGAAGAAACAAACCCTGGCAACACTTCGACTTCATGCTCCTGGCCCAGAGGCAACACAGGCCTGCAGCTTTCAGTCCTTCAGTTTGAGGGACTTTGTTACAGCAGCCCGAGGAAACTCCTACAGATGCATGGGTGAAAATACTGGGGAAACGTGAGGAGGTTATGCACACAATCTGAAAGGGCTTCCCAGGGATTATTTATTAATCACAAAGAGAAAACCAGTAACTTTACAGAGCAAGTCATCAAAGCATTGTGGACCCCCTGATGTGTTGTGCCAAGAAAGATACATGACCCACGGAGGCAGCCAGAGTCTGTGCCCGGAATTTAATGGGGAGGACACCTCAGATCAACTCAAGCTGGGGACACTGTCAGAATGGGCTGGCCTCTCTGCTGCACCCAGTCAGTCACACAGGGCAAGAAAATACTGCATGGTCTAGATTCTACAAGAAACCCAAAATATAAACACTATTAAGAGAAAAATTAAAAGAAGGATGGTAGGAAACAGGGAGGTATACTTTGTGAGATGGGAAAAGGATCTGGGGAGCAGGAGAGAAGAGAGGGGGAGAGGCAGGATAAGTAAAAACGATCAGGATGAGATATGTATGTGTACCCAGTTCTCCAGGATGAATGCATTGGTTATGTATCACAAACATATACCAGCAATACAACAGAGAGTCAGCTTGTTAGAATTATAAGGCAAATCACAGTCAGCGAGAATGATTATGCCAGTTACATGTGATAAAGGATTTGTATTTGGAATACATAAACTTTAAGAAAAATAACAACAACAAAAAAGGGCACGAAAGACTAAAGAGTTCTTTCAGATTAAGAATTAGGAGCCACAATATTCAAATATAGCACATAAATATGGATAAATATTAGCTCAAAAAATAGTGGCCATAAAGGCCATTTTTGAGATAGAAAGCAAATTTTGTATACTGACTCCCTGTATTATTAGATGATAGTATTGTATCTGTAAAATTTCCTGAATATGAGATCATATTGTGGTAATTAAGGAGAATGTCTTGCTCTTCAGACATGCACATTGCAGTATTTAAAATTAAAGAGATATGATTTTCACAGCTTATGCAGTAATAATTCAATAATAATAATTAATAAATGTTAGTACAGTCTATATAGATGTATATAAAAGTAAATGTGGCAGTTTAAAAAGATTAATAATTTAATAATGATTTAATAATTAGGGATTCTGAATACTAAGTTTGAATTTTTATTTTCAAAATTAGGCATGTAAGAAAAAAAAAACCCTCCACATTTTATTTGTTCTGTACAGCAGCTCATTTGGTGTTCCGAACTTTCCATAAGGATGACCCCTCCTAGGCCACTCAGTTCCATTCTTCTCAACACAACCCACTCAGGAAAATGTAGTGTTACATATTTATATTTAGTCCATGAAACGATGACCATCTTCAGGACTGCAGTGGTGTCATGCAGTGTGACACATGACGTGTTACTCTGCCTCACAATAAAGCACAACAAGAATGGACATTGTGGTTTCTGTTCACTTAATGCTATAAATCTCAGTAGCATGCTGGGGGAGTCTAAACGAGATTTACAGATAAGAAAGACTACAATTGCACAAGGTCCCACTAGTATCTTCTTTTTTAATAGTTTCTATATTTAGCTGGGAACATTCTGCTACTTCTTTATTTTATTATTTTACGTTATAGTGCCCAGGGCATTGCACATGCTGGGCAAGTGCTCTACCACTGAGTTACATTCCCAGCTCGTTAATTTTGAGACAGGTTCGTACTTGGTGGCCTTGAGCTTGTGATGCTCCTGCCCAGTCACTAATCATTTTTGAAAAATATCAAATCCAATCATTGGCTCCTTCAATATACATTTTCAGGGCCCCAATTATATTCACAGGGTCCTGATGAAGATTTCAAATTCTGATCTTCTGATCTTCCTAACTCTGAAAATTGGCTTTCTTGGCTGACCTTTCTTAGACTCCATACCTCTTAACAATAGGAATGGGGTTGTCATTTGTCTTGCCCTCAGTTCTCAGGAAGTCTTGAGTGACTGATCAGCCCAGTTTGTCTGGGAATTAGAGGATTCCAGGGTGCTGAGTTTTCAGTGCTAAAATAACAAGTCCCAGAAGTCCCAGATAAACCAGAATGAGCTAGACACACACACACACACACACACACACACACACACACACACACACACAATCTCAGTACATAGCAAGTGCTCAATAAATGTGAACAAAGATAGTGAATTTAATTATCCCATTTTGTTACAAACTCATAGACAATATTGCTAACACTAAATAGTACAATGTTGCAATGACACGTGTTCTTCACTTCAAAAGGATGAGAAGAGACGTGGCCATGAGGAGGGTGGACATGTGGGTCCTCCTGAACTGGGAGTGACGGGAGGCAACTGAACAAATGGACACTGTTAGCCCCTGCAGAAGGACACGTCTTTGATTCTAAATGGGGTTGGAATGACTGCTGTTTGTTTTGCAGTATTGGGAAAGTTTTTCAATTCTCACATTGTTCAGAAATATAACTCTCATTGTGCTTATTTTTGATTTTTGAATGATATATGTAACTGCTGTGCTGCAGCTCCAGGCTTGAGTTTTGCTTTGTTTTATTTTGTTCTTTTTTTTTCCTGAGAATTTCAATGCACAAAACTGTGAGCTAAGCTGTATGTTAAGGAGCCTGCTATGTCCTGACAGCAACTCTGAACCCATTCATGAACAGCGCAAACCTGATGGGAACAGAGACCTGGAATAAAATACAAAATCTCAAACAATATCTTTTTCTGGTTTTCAAATAAGCTGTTCTACTATGAATTAATTCTCACAAATACTTGCAAATGGTATTTACCATTGGTCCAGTATTACATTAATAGTACTCAACAGTAACATTAATAAGACCTAATGGTTACATTTTTAAACTACTTATGCTATCGATAGATTCTGAAAGTTAAACAAGTCATGTTATTTTATAGGAATCCAATCTAAATCTATAACACTAGGGTTTGCAGGGGAGACTTGAACCCTCTTTTAGGATTTACCTGGATTTTATTTGGATTTCTGATAATGTTACTGCTGGCTTTAGTAGAAACACACACACACACACACACACACACACACACACACACACACACACACAGTCCTATCCCAAAGTCCATGAAAACCTGACTTTATGAGGTGTTAATGGCATCAGTCTCATAGTCCCCCTTTATACAATCCTAAAGTTAGACATAAGAGGGAGGGAGGTGACAAAAAAGATTGATAGATAAAAAGAGATTAGTAGAATCACATAGCAGAAAGGACTATGCAAATTCTCTTATCTGATAACTTCACATAAGAAATAATCTTGCCCCGAATATTTAACTTGAGTCTCATCAATTCCATTTTACAGGACATAGAGAAACAAAACCAAGTAACACCATAAATAAATGATCTGACACAGCCTGTGAATGAGACATTTCATAAGACAACTGACTTCAACTCTTCTAAAGAACACAAGCAAATAAATAAATCAATAAAGGCAGGAAGACTTTTCTGGATGAAAAGAAAAACTCCAAAAACATAACATCTATATGCCACGTACATGACCTTCAGAGAATCCTGAACTTGGAGGCAGGCACCCAGTTATAAGCAAGAATTTTGAGATGATCAGGAAATTTTGAATATAGAACAGATAGTAGTTGATATTAGGTTTTAAGTTTTATTAAGTGTGATCATACTATCGTGGCTAGGTAAGAGGTTTCGAGATTCATATGGAGACATCTAAAGATAAATGTCATTGTGTCTTTCACCTGAAAATCACAAAACACTCAACCAGTGTTGACTCTATGCAAAGGGTGTATGAATGTTCATATTGCCATTTTTCAGCCATTTCAGTGTTGTTTGAAAATGTTAAGATAATGAAGAGCTGGGAAAGAAAGAGGAGTTGGTTGGGAAGGCACGAGGCTTTTAAGAGCCTA